GCTTCCAACCTAATTTAGATGGTTTAAGACGCCAGCGCGAACAGGTCCGTCCTTAAATGTATCCAAGACAATTGAATGATACGAATAATAGCTTAGAATTGGCTTAAGGTTTTCAATTTGTGATTCTCTGTTGATGGCAGAGAATTATGTTTCTGTACAGATTTTGTAGGCTTACTCGAAATTGTTTATAAACAATAACAACATCTATTCATTTGATGTTTATTTTGCAGACATTTATATTCTTAGAAACCTTGTACTGACAACCAAAGCACTTAGTTTAACTGCATCGCCCTTAAATAATTGAGTTATAATTCGCACTTAACTATTCTGCAACCATAAGAAGATTAAAGTGAAACATCATCGTTTATAATTAAATGTTCTGAACAACAGTCCCAATTATATTTGCTTTGCCTTAAGCACTAACATTTAACAAACGGCAGAGTGCTCATGTTAATTTGCACATACAAAATTCTTAATATTTACCATCGTTATTATATATTCTGTTCTATTTAATTAAGGTTGCCGGGAAAAGGGCGCTTCATACCCTGTAAGAGTCGGGCTGTACTCGTTTTTAATTTTAAATGTTCATTATTTTCTTTTGCTGCAATGGAGTTTAGTTTAGTTAACGCTCAAATATTTATATTTTGCTTTGAATATCAAATGAAGTGAAGAACTTATTTTATTTTAAGACTATCTGCCTTAAAGCTGTGAATTTTCTTGCAACGCTTTCGCTTATCAGTTTATGCGTCAATCCCAAAAATAAATCAAATTTGTATGTTCATATAAATCTACTTGTTCTTGTAGTCGAATATGTAAATTCTGAGAATTGCACGATTCATCACTGAAATGTACAATTGAAGAATTTCAAATTTAGTTTTACATTAACACTGCGACAAATTTAAATAATAACATACTCAGCCAAATCAGTATGGAATGCACAAACGTGACAGACAGATTTGCTTTAATAAATTAAAAAAAGTGACAGACAATCAGACAAATTGACAAGAGAGGCGGCAATTTATGTGCCTCGGGCCCACACAGAATCGTCAAAGTCCGGAGAATGAAATGGAATCGTTGTCAACAGAGTTCAGCAAGCAATCCCGAAATCAAAATGAAACAAAAAATGAAAGATAATGAATGGCAGACGCATTTTTGTCACGACGTGCTGCATTTCTTTCCAATTGTACAATAATATTTAATTGCCAAGAAGTTACATCAAGAAATTATAAATGAGTTTTCTGTCTGTTTTCGGGTTTTTGGTTTTTTGGTTTTTGGCCAAAACGCCCACATGACGGCCAGGATAAGCCGGCAGTGATGATGCCATGTGGGTGTGTCATCTCAGCCCGCTTGTGCTAAAAGTCAGACAAGTGTAAAATCATAAACAATGCGAAGTGTAAGGCAAAAGACCTGAAACACATGCCGCTGGTTGCTTAACACGGTTTCAGGCAAGTGCTGCCAACGTTTTTTTGACAGGGCCCATAAGTGCAGCGACAACAAAAATTGCCGAAACGAAAAATATAATGCAAAAAATGAATAAAAAACAACACTTGATGATGTGCAAAAGAAAAGCATGTGTTGCAAATCCAAAGACACTTAAAAAAAACTTCTTTATGCTAGCCTTACTGCCCACCACAGAACTATGCACATTTCATTGCTCCAGCGACCTTTTGAAGCTCAAAACTCAATTAGATGTCGCCAATGCCATTAAAAGTCCTAATTTAAATATAAAACAAATTCGAATTGCAAACATTTTGCCGTTTGATTCAATAGGCTTACGTGCCCAAACTGCTAAACGGGCTCGACAACCTCAGCGCCCCCGGCCGCGGCGCCGTTTGCTTTCAAAGTCGACCCAAAAGGCAACAATTTGTACGACGCATGAAACGCAAAATGGCAGCAGTTAAGACGGAAGGTTCAATTTGTTGAATACGAGTGCGAGTATAATAAGCAAACTTAGCCTACTAACCGGCTTTACGCGCAAAACAGCTGTTGACATTTTTAGCATCGTTTTGTAATTACGAAACAAGTCCAGTACGAATGCTATGGTGGGGCGCGTCTGACTGTCGGATAACCCTGTGATAAATATTTATTATGTCAGCTTTCTAGTGACAAATCTGAAACTAAGCTGCGCCGCATCAGAAACATCTATTAACGTGAATAAGATATGTACTTATTACAATAAATTGGTCTAGGTAATAGGAAATACGTACGATCGTTCATTCATAAGCTAGTGTCAAATCTTGAAATAAAATATGTCTTTAAAATATTATCTTTTTATAAATATGGTTCACGTTAGTTATCAAATATAATTTCGATATTTCGAAAGAAAAGATTAAAAAAACACAAATATAAAATACCTTTACGAGTATTAAGTAAATCATTAATTAACCCTTTAACTCTCATTGAGAAAAAAAGGAAAATCGTGCCAAAGAATTTATTGCAAATATTATTTAAGCTCTTCTTTATTTAAAGTGTTTTACGGATTTCAAGCTAGTAAAGCATCATCTTTTAAAGACCCGATATTTAATGTGTTGCAGCTTTTCCTAAATTGAATTATATTGCCAATTCGCAAAGCATCTCTTTAATGAACCCCTTCAAGAAACCAGATTATATATACAAATTGTTATTCTTTGGGTATAGGGCACAAAACCTTTATCAATTAAACTTTTTAAACCAATTTATCAACACCAATTCCATAAGATTTTAGATTTGTGCTTTACCGGGATACAAGTAAATAACGACAGAGTTACAGAGTATATTATGGTAATGAAATGTATGTATGTACGTCTGAATATTCACGTTGTCCAAACTTTTAAGATTGTAGTGTTTAAAACATTGGTTGCCCACACTACTGAAAGCTGCATTTTAATGCGTTCAAGAGGATTAAGTAGGGCGGGCGAAATTTATTCACATATCCCTGGTGAATATCTTTATTATCTTGCTTTCTAAAAAAATAAAACTTTTGATAATAAAACTTTCAAACAATTTCAATAATTTAATGTATGTTAAAAATATAATAGGAACACCTTTAAACTATGAAATGATGGTAGCTGTGCCAATCATATCGTATAATACGCATAAGTAACTTTTCTTATTTTCAACATCACTATAAAACTTTAACATTTATTTTGCGTAATTCTGTGCCTTGCATCAATTTTTTTCGTGCAAATAATATAAAAACATAGACTGATTGTAATTTGAGCAAGTCTATTTTGTTTTTCCAAGATTTTGGTTTGGTTTGTTATACATCTAATATCCTTTAGGTGTCGGGTGTAGCGAAAAGCAGCCACTCAAGCATTGTATATTTCAAATTTCTACGCCGTGGGCAGGAAATAGGCAGGAAATCAGCACAAATTTCTGGGAAAAATTGAAACAAAGTGCTGACTCAGTTGTCTGTTGGCTTGCTCACCCCTTCATTCGTTTGGCCAGAATAAAATTGAAACGTTTGGCGAAAAAGAGAGCGTACGTATTTATACGAGGTAGTGTCCAGTTGTCCGAGAACACTGAAGTGTGTATTAGGCTAATTGAATTTTTGTTAGTCTAGGATCGTTTGTAGTCATGCCAAGCCACTCGAGTCACCATATGCCTCATGAATTCCGATATTCCCATCTGATTCAGCGTGCAAGTAAATATATTCAGAGCTTTTCGAACGACACGCATTTTTATAGTCTTGTGGTCAATTTTTAATTATCATTTTGGGTATGTGATATCGGCTACAATGTCGACCAAAACATACACACATCCGCCACACACACAATTATATGTTTATTTTTAAAAGCAATGCCAGAAGAAGCACACACGTCGTATGCGTAATACAGTAACATATTCCCTTGACATTTTCCAATATGTAAAATATACAAGCAACTATATGGAAATTACAGTAAAGAGTGGCACAGAGTGAATGCTAATGGATGTCATTAATTAACTCAATATCTATTACTATACATTGATTTTATTTAAATAGTTTCTTATCAGTGTGAATGCAACACAATATCTTAAATATGAAAGATCAACCATTTCTAAATAAATTAGGTTATTTTAGTTAATAATATAGTAAAGCAAAGTAAGAAAAGTCCAAACTTTAATATTTTACATTTTCCATTCCAAATTAATATTCATCTCTTACATCTCTTAATGCAATCAACACAAATTTAACTAAAATTTAAAATTAATTCCAATATTCAAGGACACAGTGCATATTTTCTTTCCCTCTAAATAAATAATTTATATTTGAAGACATTCATTATTATGTTTCGTGAGACTACTGTGGGTTCCTAGGAACTCTGAGATAACTTATTGTGAACAAGAAGAAAATGGTTTGAAAACCAGCAAATTTAAGTAAATTGCAAGATCTGAATGACTCGACTGCAATATTGACTTCCTGATTGATTGCACAAAACTAGGCCATTGCAAAAAATATAAGTGAAAAATAAAATTCTTGAGTTCTTAGCGATGTTTTCAATTGAAAAATGCTTGTAAGTGTATATAGTATTTACTATGGAAGAGCTGGGACATTTATCGAAGTGCGGCCATAAAAGTTACACAACGCCAATATTTTTTATAGCTTCTGTTTGCTTCGCCGCTTGTTTACAAATTGGCGACATCAAAAACTATTAGGAAAAATCGAAGGGAAGGTGGCGGCAAACAAGCGAAACGAAAGTAAACTAAAAGGCAAATCAAGCAAGCAACAAATTAAAAATAAACGCAAATATGTGGGAAAACAACAAATCGGAAAGAAAATGCATGTGGGGAAAAACTGTGTCGGTGTGTCAGTGAGATGCCACGACAACAACGAAAGTGACAGAAACAATTTTCACAGACAGATCTTCTCACACAAACAAATACACGCACGCACACACACACATCCACAAATATTTTACATTTAAATATGTAATTTAAAAGCTTACAAATGTCAGCCATTTAAAAATAAACTTTTACGTGCTGCCTACTTTAATTAATGAAATTAGTGAAATCGAATGATTTGACGCATTTCTTGTAGTTACCTGTCGTCACAATAATTAAATATCACACACTTTTCCACTGGCGTGCTTAGAAATGTTTTCAAAACAGAAACTTAATTTTTGTTTTGAGTTTTTATAATTATTTTAACGAACGCACTTAATTTTGTCAATTATTTATTGGCACTTAGCACTCTGCTTTGCACAACTTGGCATCTGTTGTTTCACTTCGATAATAATTTTGAATAATTTCTTAACGCGCCTGCCGCACGTAGTTGTCGCTGCCACTGCCGCTATCGTTGTTGTTGCCGCTGCGTGTTCTAGCTCGTTGCGCTTGCGGTTCTGCACTGAAGCGGCACTCAACCGTTTCGTTTGTTTTCTTAACGACGAGAAACGACTCAAGTGGGCTCTCTCGCTCGCCACAGACAGATGGCGTGTCTCACCGATTCATTGAGCTTATTGCGCGTCGATCTCTTGAGTCGTTTACACACCCGCATACATGTGCTGTTGTTGTGACTGACTTTCGCCTCAGCCGCTATCGCTGCTAACGCCGCAGTCGTCGCCACGATCAAAAGCATAATAAATTCATTGCAAATGAGAGCGGGCGCACGCGCGCCCGCTTCTTGCTCAAGAGCTTAACAGCTCGATCGCATATTTCTGCGCATTATGTTACCTTGGAGCAGCGGCAGTGAAATGAGCGTTTTGGCAGCTTTATTAATTGCGTGCGCGAGGCTAGTTTATGCCCACAACAGAATCCGCATCTATGAAACATGTTTGGCGCCAGGCCTCAGCAGCGGCATCAGCAGCAACAGCAGATGCAACAAATAGAACATCTGTCATGCCACAAATCACGTGCAATAACTTAGCGCTACATACTATGAGTTACATACGAAATGCTTGCATACACTCAAAGAAACGCACAGAAGAAGAAGATGCATACAACATCTGCACTCTTATGTGTATTGGAAACAAGCTCAAAGCCAGCCGATTCATAAGGGGAAGTTCATAAAGCCATTTACACATGAATTATTAAGCATTGACACAAATGTTCTTTACAGCTATATAGCATTATATTCCTTTATACTATAGTAAGTAGCTTTCATAACCGAACGACGCAAAAAAGTGTCTGGATGGAAAAAGTTTTTGCCTATAGAGTTATTTTAACTAAACTGACTATCAATAAGTTGTGTTAATGCCTTTATATAGTCCAATGATTTGTCAAATCCGTGCACCTTAACAAATAGACATAACATGGAATATTGGTGCAAAAACAATCATTTAAGTTGGAGGATTGTGACAGGTTGAGGGGGATTCCCATAGGGCATACATTAGCCGTTCAATTCAAGAACACAATAATTCTATTCGGGAAATGAAATGAAAAGCTTATTTATCTTAAAACATTTTTTTCAAGCTTGCCTGAAATGTATTGTTAAATTTTCGAAAATTCTGAAAACGATTCGACTTTATTTTGTTTTAGTTGAAGAATGTTCTTAGTTTCAAAGCCGAGCTGGGTATGTTGTTTAAAAATATTGAATGATCAATGGTTTTATTGTAAAGTTCTTACTTAATTGGGGAAATCTGAATTTCCAGCTATAATTCGAAAGGTTTCAGTGTCGCGTTTTGTAAAGTTTTTTTTACTTTGAATCCGAAGATATATAGATACTATATATAAAATATAGCTATGAGTAGAGAATACAAAGACGACATAGTATTGGTTTGAATTGTTATTAATATATTACTATAATTACGTGTTGTCTGTTGCCGAATGAGATTAAGGCCAAGAAGTTGTCGCCGAACCGTAAAAGTTTTTTAGTAACAGAACTGTGCTATGCTTAAGTATTTGTGTTTATAATTAAATTTTGATTAGTGGATATGTTGCCACTAGAGAATATCTATCATTTTTGATGCCGAATAATTCATTATAAATACGAAAATTTAGAAGGAACATTTGACTTAATAATTAAGATTGCGAGACTATAGCTGCACTTTATATATATATTATGTACGTATTATCTGAAAAATTGTGCATTTGGTCAAGTGGTTGTGAATGTACTCATATTTTTTATGAGTGTACTGCGATCTTTACACTACACAACATATACTCTACTTGCATGTAGCGGGTCTTGTGGAGCGCACACGTGTGTGCTCTGAGTGGTACACCTACTACAAAAGTTGATATAAGTAATCTGCATACACAAATAGTAGTAACTGTTGCATGTCCATATATCGCTCAAGACTTCTGCTGACGTCCGATGCGTCACTGTGCATATTTTAAGTGCGCTGATATAACAGACAGATCCGAAGCGGCAGCAACAGCCACTCGAAGAGTCGAACAACGCTACGTAGAAAATTCCAGGAATGTTTGCAATTGCCGGCACCGGACGATGTGGTGTGGGCCAGGCTTGCGGGGGCGTGGCAATGATTGCCCTTCTCATCATCGGCGTCGTCATCATCGTCAAGCATCACTGGCATCGTCATCATTGATATTCATTGAGCATTTTCTTGGACGGGCTGGGGTTGCTGTCGGCGGCAATTGCGACAATTTTTCCGCCTGCGTCAGCATTTGTTGGGGCTTGTTGATATTTTCCGTTTTTGTTTATATAATGAATTGAGTCCACATGTTTGCCAATGAATTATGTGGCTGTATGTTTGGACCGATATGGTGGCATTAAAAGCCAGCACGATCGGAGTAAGTTTGTTGTTTTTTTGAGCTGTGGATCTATTAGCATTATCAATACTATAACGGAAATAAGAATAAGTTATTCGAAGTATTTCCAATTAAATTAGAAATGCATGCAAAGTAAGCCGCCACATTAACACTAAACGGAAGCCAACTAAGTAGTTGGAATAAAAATGGAATAATGTGTGGACGAAACAAAGCCAGAAATAAACAGAAAATTTATAAAGAATTTTCTTAAAATAATTTGAATAAGTGCAACTGTTTGATTATAAATGAAATGTGTTTTGTGAAGCATGTGTAGGTAACTAATTTTTAATTCGCAAAATTCTCAGAAATTATAGAGAGGTACAGTAAAACCTTATGCAATTTATTTTCACTGCTTTTAAAAGCAACAACAAAATGAATTATTTTGTTTGGAAACATATAACTTTTCAAGAAATCACAACTATAGTGCTTTTCACACACTGCCATGTAATTCCCGTGCCCGTTGGTATTTTTAAAAATTCGGCGAGTGTCATAATCTTCAGTCTATTTTACATCTTTGAGATCATTTAGAAAACGTTTTCCTATATCAATGAGCCGTAGGATAATATCAAAGAAAGTTATGCTTTTTCATTTAAATACACGTCGTTATTTATGTATAACCACAGATTCCATATTGTGGTTTTGTTGTTGTTTACTTCTTAAACTCATCTTCTTTCATGAACATACATATGAAATAAACAAATAAATAATATCACTATTCATTAAAAATATTTCATATTGTATTGACATGTTGTCAGCTGAAGTTTTTCTGTATCCAATTCATATCCAAAACTTTTCACTTATTAATGTTGAGTATCTAAAAATTGATAACAACAAATGAAAGCTTATCTTCAGAATTGGAATAAAAGTATTTTTAACTTTAGATGGAAAATACTACTTGTATATTTCAGGATTGTTATTTTTGATTTGAATTTATATAAAAACAGCCTTTTTTGAAAATAATTTAGGTGTTACAAAAATGTACAGCCTCGTCGCTGTTCTTAAAATCTTAAAATCTTTAAATTTAAAAGGAAAAACGGAAGAAGCAGATCAAATATTGATTCCGCCGAAAAGTTTCGCTTTTGTTAGGCGAGCTCCACTGTAAACCTAAATGCCTCACACTCTCAACAAATATTAAACACAAACACACATATAAGTATATAGAAGCTATCAAACACCCACACAACCTCGCCTGCCTCGACAAGAATATCAATCGGAAGTCATGAAGAAACACAGCAAAAGTATTTTTGGCGCATATCCAAAAGATTAATAAACAGACGCAAACGTGTGCAAATAATTTTCCGCAGAAAGTTAAGCGCAGCCAACAAAAACCACAATAAAGACGTCGAATATAATATATGTTGCTTTATATTAATGAAAAGAAAAATAAATGAATTGTGTGCCAATCAGACGCATTAACTTAATTCCCGACACTCCCCCCTCTCTTTCCTTTTTACAGTTCCAATTCACAAAGTTTCCCAGCGTGTTGAAGGCTGGACATTGCCATGGTGGAGTGGCCACGGCTCGCCTGGAGAATCAGAGCGCCTTGCAAGATGCCGCCGGACTTGTTAGCGGAGCTGGCAACGATTCGCATTGTTATTGCACCATTGAGCCCTACATTGATGCCAAGTTCAGTGTGCATATTCAAAAGATTGGCAACAATTACAAGGCCTTCATGTAAGTGATCAGATAGACAGGCAGACGAGCGGACAGACAGGAAGGCAGACAGGCGGCTGGTATTTAAGTTGAAAGCCGCAAGTGGCGGCCAATTGACCTTGAGACCAACTGTCAGCGTCTGCCGATGTCGAAGTCGTTGTGTTCGTGTGTGTTTGTGTGTGTTTGTTTGTTAAACAAAAGACGACGCCGACGCAATGCAATTGGCAATTACCGATTGCTGTTTTTGTTGCAACCACAGCCGGAAAGTTCATTTGGCCACAGTTCAAAGCCCCATGTGCCATGCAAATTGATGATCGTGCACCACTTGGCGGCAAATTATCTACGCTTGCTGCTCCGTTTTGCATTTATTTCGGCTAATTTATTGTGGCTTCTTTCTTCTCTCTTCGCAGGCGCAAATCCATCACCGGCAATTGGAAGACCAATCAAGGCTCCGCCATGCTCGAGCAAATCACCTTAACCGAGAAGTACAAAAGCTGGGTGGACGAGGTAAGTCCGTTTAGCTACTTAATCAGTTACTCCCATTGGCTTGCATTAGCTTGGACTCTGTTTCCACTCACAGCCCGTCCAATTGTGCCCAGAGCGCTAATCCAATGGCTTCACATTTATCAACTTCTGCTCGTGTACCGAAATTGCTGTAAAATCGGCACAGATTAGACTGCCAAAGGGGCATGACACACTCATAATATATTTAGCCAGACCACCCGCTTATTGTTATCCACACTCCCCCACCCCCTGCCCATTTACCACCCGTCTATGCGGCTTAAATACTGTTTACAATGCCCTCGTGGCTGGCTGGCGCTGCTTTAATTAAAACTCATGATTATGCAAAACTCGAATGGTGCATAACAGCATTGCCTGCAAATCAGATTAAGACTGGATATGTATATATATTGGGTATGTGTATATAGTGTACGTGTGTGTGTGTGTGAATACACGCGTCGCCCTTAGTGCTCCACATTGTGTGTGCCCATCAATTCAATATATACATATTCTAGATATTCCACGAATAACCTGTGTTTAACTGTTGAAAAGTAAATAAATAAATTAATAATCTCGTAAATACTGATAATAAACAGTAATCTATATTGTTGGTAAATATTTAATACAATTTTGTAATTTACTTTCAACTTTACTAAGCATATGGAAAAGAGAAAATGTTAAGTCAAGAAGCTTAAAATTCCATAGAATAATTTCGAATCAGCTAGAATAAAGATGAAATATAACCGATATGATATTGCCTCCTTAAGAATATATAAGTTAAATATCATGTGATAATAATGTGTATTCTTCAGTTATGTTCTGTTTGTTTATAAGCCGGAAAATGAGCAAAAGCCTCGAAAAAGTTCAGCAATGATTAAAAGCAGAACATTATTAATATAGATCATCTGCTGAGGTTTAACATTTAACATTGACTTCTTCACAATATGCAGTAAATAGCTCATCAAACGAGTGTTTCAGCTTCTTTAAAATTCTACATAATTTATTTGCAGAACTGAAATTGTAGACAATTTTTAGGCAGATTTAATTTTTAGGAAATAACGCATAAAAAGAGTGTTTCGATAAACTTCTTTAAAATTGTACAAAATTTATTTGCAGAATTGATTTATTTCAAAACCAGCCATTTTAATTCGAACTGAGATAATTTTCCTATTCGAAAGAATTCTCTACTTATGTGTCTATATACGATTGCGAGATTGGCATCGTGTTTTTCAATTTTTTTTTTTTTTTTGAATAGTTCAATCAAGTAATTTTAAAAGTTACACAATAGTGGACTATAATTTAGCGAAATGTTCCATAGTGAAAAAACAAATTTAGGACAAAGTGCTTACATTGATTTATAGTATAATTTTCAATAGATTCTGCTGCGCTTTTGTGTTCTATAAATACCAACTGCTACATTCAAACTGCTAAATTATAAACACTTCTCCAATTAAATTCATAGAGTTTCACTTATACTAACTGGTGAAGCAAAACTTTTCAACATTATACTATTCAGTTAAGATTCAAATATGATTTGTTGACTATTCTATGACAATTTTGAAGTTCGAATTGATTTTGTTTCGTCTAGACATTATCTTTCTTACCTAAATGCTATGTTAAAATTTCATTTATGACTTTCTGGTTAATCTGGACAGACCCTAGATTATTATTTTTGTTTTTATAGTCCATATAGAGCCTAATTCCCTTGATTTGGGAATCAATAAAAAACATGTATGGCGAAACTTTTTTAGAAAAATGTACATACAAGTATGTAATATATGATAGCTGTTTCGCAAAGTTTAAGGAAAAAAAATTACCTCTTCAGAAGAACTATCTAAATCAGTATTAATTAAAGGCGCTTAAAGCGATCGCAACGCGTACCCGTTGGATTCGTTCAACAAATTGTAAATGAAAAATGTTAAACTCAATAAATTGAACGCTAATGTGTTTGTGGGTGTTTTTTGTAGATGTGAGTTTTGTTTTAGCAGCTTGCTTAACGGTTGTTTCCCATTGCTTACAATCCACTCAAATGCATAAATACCTTGTGAGGAATTCAAAATAAATTTCGAACATGTAAATGCAATAAATTGTGGAATTTGCTCATAAAACCTTCGATAGTTGGGCCTGGAAGCTTCCTGAGCCTAGCCCACAAACAATTACAAAAACAGCAACATTAGCAATAACAACAAATGCAACAAAAACAACAACAACAAGTGACTCATATGTGCATAAATTATTGACAACAATTTCCACAATTTACTCATTCTAAGGCCATTGAGGCAGTTACTATAGATAAGCGCCAACAATGCGGCACAGTTTTCACAGTGATGCAATGTATATGTAGAATAAGTACCCGTATATGTATATACATATATCTACACGTATATATCATATCATACATACCTAAATGCTGCTCACATTATAAGTGGGTGGGTGGCTTGATCTACTACTATGACTGAGTTGCTTTCGAAACGCCAGCGCGCCGTTCTAGACAAACCCACAACTGCTTCTAATCAAAGCAAATTGTGTAATTAAAACCATAAGCACGAGCAGCCTAGACTGAAGCCCAAGCCCACACAAATTGCGCTTTGCCTCAGTGGCTAAATGAAATAGAAACCACATTTTGGTATTAAGAATCACTCATGACTCTAATTTCTGTGACGTTGCAGATATCCGAGCTATTCGGTGGCATGGAGGTGTGCGGAGTATCGGTGGTGGTCGGAAAAGATGGGCGCGAGTATATCATCAGCGCCTGTGACTCCACCTTTGCCTTGATTGGCGACAGCCAGGAAGAGGATCGCCGGCAAATAGCGGACTTAGTGTCAGGACGCATGCAGGTGAGTTCATAATCCATAATATTCAACTGTTCTCGGAAAGAATACAATCTATTGCACTTTACTTGCACAGTATTACTGAGAATTAATTGCGTAAATATTTAAAAATAAAACTATTACCCTCAGTTGTAATGCTCTGTTTGTTACGCCTATTATTAATTTAAATTAATTTGCCTCCCCTTTTTTAATTAAAATATTTGCAACATGACTTCACTTAGTTGTCTATGGCTTGAACTTAGGAAGCATTGCTTTTGGCTTATCTTATGTCTAGGCCTTACATTTTTAACTTCTTATAATAATCAAATGGCGATTATCAGACTTTTTAGGACATTTTTGCATGTTTTATTTTCCTTTTGAAGCGTGCATATTTTTGATTTTGCTCCCGATTTGGCTATGACTATCGGATTGTGTGCCAGATTGGTGAATAGATACTTTCTCTATCAGGTTGCTTCTATGCTGACTGATAACAATAAAACGTTCTTTAAACTGATCTCAAACATCCGGAAACACTAAATATCAAATATGAGACTGCCAATTCTAAAATCATTTTGCCAGGCCTTAACAAATCTTCAGACTTATTAAAGAGAGGCTAATATTTTGGTTAAATTTCCACTTTCTTCACTCTCTTTTAGAATTTCTCAATTATATTCTTTATGTTATTTATTTAATACTTATATAAAGTTATAGCAAAAGATTTTTATATTATAAAAGTTAAGCTGGCGCCTGCTTTTTTAACGAGAACAAACACATTTAGGGGCATATATAGCTAAATATAATATTGTTTATTTTACAGAACGTATGCCGACCAAGCATGGCTCAAACTGGACCGGGCAAGCTGCCATCGCGCTCCTCCGTCTCATCTCGCGGTGAGAGTCCCACTGATGAGGTGGCACCCACACCTCCGTTGCCAGCTGGACCAAGACCCGCACCCATGGGTGGTCCACCGCCGATACCAGAACGCACCTCGCCGGCTGTGGGCTCGATTGGCCGGCTGAGCAGCCGCAGCAGCATCTCTGAGCTGCCGGAGGAGCCTTCTTCGTCAGTACCGAGCACGGTCGGTGGAGGTGTGCGTCGCGATTCGCAGACATCTCAGGCATCGAGCATTTCGTCGGTGTCTAGGACCGGACAGCGTCCTCCGCAAACTCAAACTCAAACATCGGTCGTCGAGGATGCGGAGGACACCATGAAGAACCTGAGGAAGACCTTTGCGGGGATATTTGGTGACATGTAGGAAATCGCTAATAAGAAACGTGGAAGGACAGCGAGCGAGACAAGCAATGGCAGTGGCATGAGCAGCGTGCCCAGCAGTGCAGGAATCGGCAGCGGCTTCAGTGGCTCATTCCTTGGCAAGCAATTCTCGTTCGCTTCGGGCGGAAAATCTGGCGGAAGCGGCACGGATGTGATCTCGACACAGCCCAACAACAGGACCGATAGTCACGCCGTAGATGCACCAACGGATAATTCCAACAATACGTCTAATCTTGCCACTGCGGTCGGCTCAGCCGGTGGCAAGCAGCCCACTTCCAGCGTTTCGGATAGCGTCAACAACACAGCGGATACCTACAAGCCAGTCACCAATTTTGAGCCACAGGAACGCGTCAATCCCTTCGACAAGGAGGCGCACAAGTCGAGCACCACCAGCATTGGTGGTGTCTCCAATACCACCTCATCGTCATCATCCATGTCGACCTCTTCAATCTCGTCTCGCATCAATCGCAATGGCAATGCCATTAAGTCGCCACCACCGCCAGCTGGACCACCACCACCACCACCCAGTGTGGCTGCTGCCGCCAGCAATGCGAATAGCTCCAGTGCAGCCACTTATCGGAACAGCATCAGCTCGCTGAGCAAGGACAGGACCAGCTATGGCAACTATGGCAGCTCCACATCCATCGAGACGATCACGCGCATGGACACGAACACCACAACCACAGCGGCTACAGCCACAGGTGCCGGTGAAGCCAGCGGCATCACGGCCATCACCAACATCAGTGCGAGTGGTGCAAGTGCTGCGGCAGGTGCCATTGGCGCCATAACCAGCAGCAGCACCACAAACGATTGGCGCTCGGCCATTGGGATGCGCTCGGCGAGCGTTTACAGCGCACCGGCTGCCGTGACCACCACATTGCCGGGCGATACTTCCGGCTATGATTCGAACTCGGCTGCCTCCAATGGCTACAACAATCCAAGCGACTTGCCATCCTATACGCGACCCACTTACTCACGCTCCGAGAGCAATGGTAATTATCTAGCCGTGGGCGTGCTCCTGGTTAGCCTAACGCTGAGAAAGACCTAGGCTCCATTTCTCTTCATTTAATCGTGCTCATGTAACCGAATCGAAATGAAACTAATCTCATATTAATCGTATCATATCATAATCGTACTAATCAGCTACACCCCATTTAGATACCTTCCTATACTTGAATAACTATATGTACGTGTATAGCGATGATCATTTTTAGCAGCGACCAAGTAATATTAACAGTAACAGTAACAGTAATGAAGTCTTAGCCAGTAGACCGCGTGTCAAATGTTAGCCAAAATTGATTTCCTTAGCCAAGCCAAAATGCCAGATGCCAGATTTTTTGAAGAGTTTTAAGTGTAAGCAAATATTACGTATACGACCTCTGCGCTTCAACGCGTGCGTTAATTTCTCCCAGCGCTGTCCAAGTATTTGTAAGTTAATGTGCTGCTAATCTCATAACACAACTGAACCATCCACCCAACACCTAAAACCCCACCAAAACACACATGAAGAAACCCACACCGCGACTCACATACGCCACCCACAGGACTCTCAAGTACAGTATATAAAGATACCGTCACATGTGGCAGATTTGTTGAGACGATTTTGTGCTCTTTTTTTGTACTTTTAAACAAATTTATTATGGCTGTAGTCGTTGAACTAAATGGATACAGAGATGATTTTCTTTCCATTACAGAAAACGTAATATATCTAATTTTAAACATTCTCTTAATATTTAAAATTAAAGGTACAACCTATTGCAAAACAAAAGCATCATGCCACAAGAATCAATGGTGGAGGAAAGGTTCTGCAAACTAACATTTCGTTTCTAAAACAAAATTGGAAAACTATTTCATTTGTAGAAGGTGCTGCATACAAAGAGCTGACAGCTGAAATGACAGCTAAACATTATGACTTATGAGCCCTCTGAGCTCAGCTCTACCATCTCTATGATTTAGATAGTTATAGTATGCATAACAGGTGGATCAATCAATTGTAATAGTTTCCTCTTTACTAAGTCATACGAGCCATTTACCTTCGTTCAATTCAAAAACGAATGTTCTTTGTTGTGATAGAAAGCTAAAATCTAAAAATTTACGAACAGATTTGATTTTTGTCATAAATCAGACCGTACTGCTGAAATAGGAACGATCGGTAAAAAAAAATCATGTACACCAATTATTATGGAACTTCGATATTCAATATATGGTACTTTATTATTATATTAAATTTAAAATTACTTTAAATTGTAATCCAGTGCTTTTCAGTGCCTCTTTCAATTTATATGGAATTTTTACCTCGGTAGACCACATCAGTCCCAAGTATAAGATACGTTTTACTACCTCAGAGGACTCGCGTGTAGCCAATTCAAAAGTTCTAGAATAAAACAAATAATATTATAAGCCATTTGCACTAATTTTAATATCTAAAAAATGATCTAGAAAAATATCGGATCACGTCTAAAAACAAAGCTTCCTCTATCAGCTTTTTGTGTGCCTAAGCCCACATTTATCTTTTACTTAAAATCGCAAAAGAATTGATTAAAATAAAAACTTTTTACCCTGACTTAGAAAATCATCTTCTTAAAGTTCGAGATATAGATATCTATATACGAGCAACAAATCTGGCACTTGTGCTTGGATCTTTACAGTAGAAACTATCGCTATAGAGCACCGCAAATTCAATTCAGTTATGGCTTTTGGGCACGCACGCAGTTACATGTAGACACACACACAACACACACGCACACACACACACACACACACACACAACTTGAATACAAATACAGACGCGACACCGTAATGCGCCGAAGCGCCGCTTCTAGAATATTCTAAATTTGAAGCTGTTTTTGCAACCGTTTTCAGTTTTTTAACTGTGTGTGCGGACGTGTGTGTGTTTGTGTGTATGTGTGTGTGTGTGTGTGTGTGTGTGTGTGTGTGTGTGTGTGTGTGTGTGTATCTGATATGCTTGCAGAAAATGAAGAGTTATCAAATCATGTGCTCTATATGTGCCCAAAAACCTAGTAGGCCCATCAAATCAGATCATCAGCCATAGACCAGCTTCATAGGTCGCCATCAACTAATGAACTAAATTAAAAATCATGCTCATCCATTATCCCCATATAGACGCTTTTTGGTAACGCTCATTTCGATATCGTCTCAGCTAACCATTATCAACTGAATACATGCAACTCACTTTTCTACTCATTATCAGTGTTCAAGCAATTGGCCCAAGTAGTGCTGCTGTTAAAGCTACTTAAGTGTTAAGATACTCTTACATGTGCAACAATTGGTTCAAAGCTGCACCCCACAAAATTCTCGTGCATTCTCGTCTCTACTCTAGTCTAGCTCAATAATGTACTAACTACTGTACTGAACTCTTGCAGCTTCCAAGCAATCCGACTTGGACATCATATTTGGTGACACGAAGCCCACAGCTTCATATGGCAGTGGCAAGTATACGCGTTCCGGCGGCTCCATTTCGGATGCAGACATGATATTCGGAGGACCACCCTCGAACTATAAGACCGATCGGTTTGGCGCTAGCAAGAGCATGAGCGTCAGCTCAGAACGCACCAGTGGCATGGGATCAGGATCTGGATCCTACAAGATCTACGAAGGCATACAGAATGCCGCTTTCAGCGATTACAGCGAATCGAGCAGCATTGGCAGCGTAAATTCGGGCAACAAGCGTTGGAGCGCCAAGCAGGAGGATGATGATGAATTGGACTTGAAGTGAAGCACAGCATAAATCATATAATACACTAACTACACCCTCATATCCCACACATCCAAGTATCCACAATCGCTATTTGAATCGCTCGATCTTGAGACACATGCTAGCTAAACGATATCTGTCTGTTTTCTGCCTCTGAAGTTTCCTGGTTTCATGAGAAACATTCATAAAAACACGCATATACCATTATAGGGACAAACATACTCATATAAATACATATATGTTTGGTTGAAACTACATGTTATTAAATATATGTATAATATCCAATTAATAATTCACATTATGATTTGCATTTACATACACGTTAGTGACTAGGAAGCGTCGAAAAGCTCGCTCTAACTCTCTTCATAGACAAATAGACGAAATTACACACTGTAGTACACTACTATGTATAATTATAACCACCAATAAAACAACAATAATGCAGAGTATGAAACTCACTATAAACATTTATAGCAACAGGCCATACTACATATATATATGTGCGACTCTAATGACTTGACTGGTTTTGCAACCTAAAATGGAAAATTAACAAGAATTTTCATTAAACGTTTTGAAGCATTTTCTATTATAAAAGTGAAAAAAACCATATATATATATACTTAAAAATATTATTGAGACAAACATTTAATTATACACATGTATATCCATCTACCTATAAATTTAAACAAACCACTCCTATATGGCATATTTAATGTTGCTATAAATAATCAAAGAGTAAAAATTAAATGCGTCAAGAGTATATTACATGTTAAGATGCGGACTAAAGCAAATCAATTCTAATTATGGATTAAACCGATTGTTATATACCAGCATGAGACACTAACAGGCGAATAATGGATAATATTTTGCAGCTGTTGGCAAAAAATAAATATAAATAACTACTTAAAACACGTTAGTTGCGATGCATTCAAATTCGTGTGTTAAATAAAAGACAATATGCGCAATTGATGATAACAGCAAGATTATAAACTACTAAATATTTATGATTAACATTTAAAAATATAAAGATGGCAGGATAGTATGAGATGAGGTGAGGGCAAATGTTACTCAAAATCTACACCTACACACAAAGTAAATGTTTATTATGTATGCCTAAAATATTTATTAGTAGTTAAATATTATAATATATGACAGTAAATCTATTATAAAAGCTACACAGGCTATGCAGATAACTTAGTACCGCCATTAGGTACCACATCCAAAGAAAGCAATGTTAACTTAAGTTTTATAGCAGCTTCTTAAACAACAAATAACACAAAAGCAACGGAACAACAATAATTAAACATTCTATATAAAAAAATGAACTAAAAACAAATTATGCCTGTACTTCTTTATGGGTGCTACCTACAACAAGAAAGTGATTTGTTAATTGACAAAAGTAGCAACCAGCCTAAGTCGATTGAATATCGGTGTATATCTGAAATAAAATATTCATTTTTTATGCTTGTAGTAAATATATATGTTCAAGTTCCATTTCACCCATATACTAGGAATATGAATAATTATTTGGCGACTTTCTCGATGTAATACATCACAAGGAACAATTTAAGGACATTTACAAGCATAAAACGTTCAATTGTTATGTGCTTATTTATCCAATGTTAGGAATTTCTGCCAGGGTTGTACAATTATAATTTATACGTTTGTAAATGAAATATATTCATCACAACTTCACAACATAAAAATCGTTAAGAGATTCCATTCTATTTAAGATTCTTCTCGAAAATGTAGACAAATTTTCGAGTCTGAATCTTCCCACCAACAACTACAACTTTGTAAAGTGAGTGTGTTGTTGGATTGTTACTTATAATCCTGTAATAACTTCCAAAGTTCATATTTAATTAGCTTTAGTTATAGTTTTATCATCCCTGATGCAAAGAATTCACACTAGCTGGATAAAAAATGGATTTACTTGAAATACAGTTGACTTAGGTACCAAGTAAGGCAAAAGTTTAATGCAACAACGAACACATAATTATATAGAGTTATAAATAAATGAGAACAATAGTTGAATAATTGCAAGTGTTTATTCAAGTCAAAGGAAGACTAAGCTCTTTCAATTACTAAATATTTGTATATTGAACAACAAATTTTAAAGGTTTTGTTACGCACATACTATTTGAGCATTATTTTTGCCATAGCAACTAATACATATGTTACAAGCATAAATTCGTTACAATTTATATAGCTACAATTAATTAAAGTTAATATTTTTATGCCTGGGTTGTACGATATGCTTAAAGAAAGTTAGTCAAATTTTCAACTAAAAGTTTATCACACTTATGAAGTATTATTATGATTACATGATTATTATTAAATGTAAGCTAAATAATATTGCTATTGCATTGTGTTAAACAGTTTTTAAATTCCCAAACTTTTAGCTACAAATACTTTTAACTTTTCAGAGTTCTACTATCTATTTAGTAGTTAAAAAAAAGAAACCACAGTAATATTACTATATTGTGAGCAGATAAGCGAGTAATTAAAGTTTCTGTTAGTTAATTTAACTATACAAATAATTATTTGAGCTAAATTTGCAGTCTGTCTGCGTTTTCTCATTTAAAACCCTCGACTACATGTACTTTATATGGAAACTTGAAACATCATCATTTAGTCAAACGTATACCATCAACTGGCACATATTATATAGCTAAATATTTTATACACAGATACATACATATATTATGTAACTATAGCAAATGATATTGAATCACAAACCATCTACATCTATATATCACGGAACATTATCATGCATATATGAATCTTATAAGGCAATGCTGAATAAAGGAATGAACAAATAAAGTAAACAAAACTTACTCAAACACATTATTTGTTGCGAAATACCAACAAAATACCAAGAAAAAATACTCGTATTATTGTGAAATTATATACCAAAAGAATATCGATGTATGTGTTGTCTATAACTGCATAAAACGAAAAACAAAAAACAATTATATGCATATATGATTATGGGTATCTACAAATACATAAAAAACATTTAAATACACAAATTTATTGAAAATCTCTCTATATATATATACACACAAACTTATGTATAACTAACTACAAACTATTCCAATGAATACAGCAACAAACAAATCCAAGTAACAATAAATGAGTTGATGATTGATACAAAAAGCAAATACACTGTAGTTACGAGTAAGTCTATTTTATTATTTCACAATGGGCGGCGAACAGTTTCGCGTGCATCAACCTTTCGGTTTTGTTTTATATCACCCTATACATAAAGCTAGGTTGGGCATATTCGTTCTTTATTAAAAAGGAGGCAGCAATCGTTTCTCTACAGCAAAACTTAGGTAATATTTGTTTAGCATTGATAAATAAGGTGTTCACAAACTTGCTTACAGTAACAAATTTCCTTGTATTTCTATCGATATTTTCCAAAATTGACTTAAGCTAGCATACCGACATAAAAGATGGCGCACCCTGTATATTGATAAATTTTAGAGAAGTAAAGAATCAAAGAATATTACAAGCTTTTTGTATTGTTATATTTTCACTATTTTTTCAGTAACCACCTATTAAAAACCAATACATACGAGTACATTAATATATTTGCCGAAGATGAGGCATTCAGAGCGCTTTTTTATACAAATTATTGACTTCAAAGAGATACTCAAAACAACAAAAATGGCAGCCTTAAAATCTTTCTTGTCAAACATGTATTAAGAACAACAAATCACTAATATCCAGCTTTTTAGGGTATTTTGTCAGGCTGATTCTGAAACCTTAGCTCACCGTGACAAACGAAAATGCAAGGGTATTCCGAACAACGTTTAGTTCACTTAAGCTAATAGACTGTAATCTATGGACTGTTGACATTGACATTGCGTAGCGCGTAAGCCAGGTGAGCGCAAAGCAAATCCTTCGAGCAGAAAAACGTCAGACAATTTTAGGCTAACAACATCAGGAAAATGCAGACAACAACACTCTTTTCCATCTTCCTTCTACACATGCCGTATTTTCGCTTTCAATATGCAACGATGCCTGCCAAATGATGGAAAATTGACACGCAATGATTGCCTGAGTCGTTGCATCTCTGCTACCTGCTTTCCAGGTATGATGTACCCACTGCCGGCCGACTGCCTGCCTGCCTGTCTGTCTGTCTGTCTGAGAAGGCCAGGCGGAACCGTTTTGCCAGTAGATGTGCGACAGATAAAAGACAGTCACTTGCCAAGCCTTAAACCAGTCACGACACGTTCACTCAGCACAAGAGACACGCGATTTTTTCACCATGCAACATTATGCAACAGTCGTACTGCTGCTTCTACTCTTTCCCAGCTGCAAAAAACTGACTCAAGCAGCCAGCATCGAACTGGAACCGTATAACGAGGAAGCGAATGCGCTCAACGAAACTAATAGCAACGATCAAATGCTGGCGGCACATCCAATGTCCTGGCTAAAGAATGCGCAGGATATGTTTGCCAGTCCTGCCGGCCATGTGGTCGTTCAAGTGGCCAAGGAACTGCTCCATCGCTCTGCAGGCAACAGCCAAGTACGTGCAATTGCAATAACGAAACTCTCCGGCCTTTCTAATGGTTCCCACCAATTCCATTCTAGGTGCTCAGCTTGAATTTGACAAATTTGCTGATCATTCTGCTGCTTAAGGTGCTCATCTTTTCGGCTGGACTGCTGGGCGCCGGTCATTGGAGCAGCTACGGTTATGGACACGGTCGTTCGGCAAGTGATGGCACCTATGGCCTAGGCATAACATCGGGCGACGACTACTTGATAACTGGCTTTCTGGCCGCTCAGGGTGCGGGTGTGGACAACTGTCTATATGCTGCCGCCTGTGCCAGCCCCAATGCTGCCTATGAATATGCCAAGGCGGGGCGTGCCTTGCTCGGCGCCATTGAAATATTCGATGGGTGAGTTTGAAATGGGATCTAGTTTGAAAACCTGCTCAATTTCCCTATTATATTTGTAGTGTGCCCTTGAACAAGCCCCGCTATAGCGATCTAATCGTGCTAATGGAACGAGCCGCGTACGATGGCTATCGAGGAATCGCCTGCAATACGACCCAATCCTGCGATGGGCTGCTGTAATACCAAAAACCATTTGTTTTTAATGTTATTATTTAAATATTATTTAATATAATTGTAGTACAAATCAAGTGTCTAGCATATTTCTTTGTGGTGTATTGCTTTAAGGCGTTGCTCCTAGCTGCTAGCTTTAAGTGTTAAGGGCTGCTCCGATTCTGTATCTGGGGTTGTGTAGTATGTGTGTGATCGTGTGTTATATACAGTCTTAATGGCTCAGTATGGAGATACAATAGCTAAATAATGCTACAATTTTCACTAAGCTACTATGTCTATTATTGTGTCTACGTAGATGTTTGGCATGTGCTTGAGCTAAGCGTTCTGGTCTCTCTGGCCTAACGCATTAAATTCTTTTCCACACTCAATTGTTCCTTGCCGCCAGCGACGGCCTTGACAAATTCGGGATAATGCAGGAGTCCATCGTTGTTCTCATCCGCAATGAGCAGAAACTTATCAATCGCCTCTGTGAAGTCACAAAATAATGAGTAGTATTAGCAACAACATCATAGTTTGTTATGAAGTCTAAACTAGAATAATAATTGTCTATTACTAAAAACAATAATTGCCATTTTTGAATTAGTTGCAGAAAGGATTGCTCGCCTAAACGTTAGATTTAATAAAAGATGTATGTAGTCTACATACTTGCATATAAATAATAAATAATTTATAAATATTGAAAACCTTGTATAAGTTAGTTTAGTATTAAGTTAGGTTTAAGCTATTAAGCTTTTTGGGCTTTCTTATATACACTGTCGATTGTTGTTAACCATTTTTATTTTTCCATTTTGTTCAATTAATTAGAAAAGGCTATGCTGCGTGTACTCTTAACATTACGATATCTTTACCTCACATGTTAATTCATAATGTTTTTAAGAAATGTGAATAAATTGAAATATAATTGTCATTTACTAAAAACAGTTGATCACATTTTCTTTCAAATAATGTTCAAAACTTAATCTTAATACCAGAGCAAGGAAATGTTTTGAACTTGACCGCCTTTATAGAGCTACTATTTAATTATCAGCACTACGATGACTGAAGTGATCTATTTAAACATAATGCTCATACCAATAACCTTTCAAATCAGATATTATAGTTTGATTGATAAAGGGGGAAAACTTGGAGCGTATTAAAGCCTATTCTGATTCTATTCACGACAGTTCCTTCTAAAGTTGAAGCAATTATAGACATTTGTATTTGCTTATCCAATTTTGATTGGCAAAGTTACAGTAAACAAATATAAACTTATAAACATGAGTTTATTTGCTCCGGAGCCTTGTCTGGTACGTATCAGTTTGGATAGCGAAGGTCCCACACATTTTAACAGATGACTAGAATAGTGCTCCTCATCGTATATAAATATAAGACTCTCTCTTAAGACAAGCTTTCTTAAAGCTATAAAGGCACATTTTCCCTGCTGGCTTGTTGTTAGATTGGTCAGTTCAAAACGAAAGGAAAGTAATACCTATCACTTTTTTTTTGTTGTTTCGAATAATTGAATAATTGATTTTTGCTGTTTCCTCTTTAATTTCGTTCCTAATCAAATTAGATGAAGCCATCGGAACTTCTACCAAAGAAGTTCTACCAAAGAAGTTGAGCCATATTTGATTAAAACGTAAATGCGTGCCATTTGAAAGACCCCTTTTTGTACAATACCTATGAAGTGTTCCAACTCATCGCTCGCATTTTGCAAATAGTCATCGCGGTCGCTCTTCTTGAAGTAGTCATAATTGTGGTGCATGGCTGACTGTATCATCTCTAGGCCGTCTAGTGCGTTGTTGTTGTCGTTGTCGTGCGCCTTGAACATGTAGAATATTTTCTCCTCCTCACTCATCTCATCCATGTTGGCCTGAACGCCCATATCCTTTAGATCATCCTCGATGCGACTGTGTGCATAATATTTTAAATATTTAATTATACTTAAGGACCATGAGGTGTGTTTTCTCTCAGCCCCACTCACTGCTCCTCATGCGTCAAATGCTGATCCACTTTTCTCGTCTCACCACGCGGATGGTGCGGTCCACGCTTTATGGCCAAGGTAGTATCAAAGGTCTGACTGAAGCTAGCAATGCATATGATGAAGTTTAAGACATTTGATAAATTGCACATTTTTGTTGGGACTTAGAACGTGGATAGCGACACAAACAAATTGTTGACTGTTTTGTGTATGTGCTAGGGAGGTTGAACTGTCATCCCAGATGTCAAAAATCGCGCATGCGTGCGCAAATTTTTGTTTCGCGCATCAGCTCGTCACTTTGAAAAGTTTTTAACCAAGCAACCCGGGAATCTATTGCTGCCTGTTGTTTGTTCAATAACTTCATTCGTCACACAACAACCAGACAAATCACATCTTGTTCCAAAAATAAAATTCAATTTAAATTTCTTTCATAAAATTTGCCTAGATTTCACTCAAGATGTGCGAACACCTTTGCGATGATTTGGAATCATTTGATCCGGAAAAGGAGTTCCAGAAGTTCCTAAAGCGCAAGCCAGAGGTTCGGACAGCTCAGCTGTATGAGAATTTACACAAGCGTGAGAAAGTCAAGTGTCCTTGTAAGTATTATCATTGCAGGCAGGACTAGAGCACGCACTTACTCCCTCTCCATTTGCTAGACAATTTTAAGGGCTATGGCGTGGAGACCGATACAAACACCATGTATCGTACTTGCAACTCCGAATATGGTTACTATGCACCCAATGCCTATACCATACCGCAGCGTTTCTTTCCCCTCTCCCAGAAGTTCTCCAATGAGGTCGTGCGTTTCGGCATGTATCGCAATTTCTCATTGAATACGCACATAGATCGCAGCTTTTACTCATAAGCTTCGAGGCGTTTACGATAACTTAACAAACAAAGAACACGGCAATCCTATGAACAAACAAACACTCTTTGGACCTGAGCTTTGAATATCTTTGCAAATTTTATACATTTATCTTTTTGAAGTCGCTTTTTAAAACACCCAATGGACACTAAACTTCAGATTTTGTGGAGAAGAACTCGCATATAAAATATATATATGTGCGAGGTTTGCGTATAAACGCAGCAAATCAACGAAACTAAACTTTTAATGAAAATAAATTTCAAAGGTTTTAAATTTATAAAAAATTCCTATACAATTTGTTGTTATTGTTTTGAAGGATGAAAAGTTAGTGTCGGGATCGTAAGCACAAATTATTAAAATAACAAGTACAAGCACATTTTTCAAGCGTACTCGTATATAGTATGTTATTGGAAACAATTATGAAAATATGATAAATATTTATATTTGTTTGAAAACTTTAGTCTAATAAGCAATTTTAGTTGCATTAGAATTTTCACTATATATTTGATTTAATAAACGCGCTATAAAAAATAAGAAAAATATCCATATATTGATAACTGTAGGAGTATATGGAAAATACATGGAAAAGTCTCATAAGATATAGATATGTTTTTGATAAGGAAGAAGTATAAGATGCAACAGACTTTTTCAAATGGGTTATCTCTAGAAACTAATATTTTGATCTTCTGAGCTGTTTGCCTGCACTCTACATTTTCATATAATTTTATTCGTTCCGTCAACCATTCATCTTTCCAAAAAACTTTTTAATTGATATTATTCTGGATATCGAATATGTGATAAAAACAATCTTAGTCTATTTGCTAAGCGGTTCGGTAACACCTTGTGCATTTTTATTATTTTTAACTAGCTTTGATTATTATGTAAATTTTGTACTTTTATATTTTGCATAAAAAAACAAAAATAAAATAAACCCAAAAAGAAGCCAACAGCTAATTGCACCATTCAAGGAATATAGACAAACCACCGCTGTGTTTTATCAAGCAACCTACAAAAAATGAGGTGAGACCGATCATTAGCATATACATACAATACATATACTATGTTGTATATAGCTAACGATAAACGCCACTTGGGCCCTTCACAGTAAGACGAAGAAACTACTCGATGCATTGCTATGCGATATTTACGGCCAGCAAGAGTTGCAGGAGCGTCGCATGCGGGAGCGCTACAAAATGCCAGGACATACCTCCAATCGAAAGAAGCCAAAGAAGGGGTCCTTAGAAGCCATCACCAATGGCATGGCGGGCAGTCGAAGCGATTTGGAAAATCTGAATGAGTTGCAGCTGATCGATGTGTGTGCCATTCTGAAAGTGGAAATTCTCATGATGGGCTATATGCTGGAACGAGTGCTGATCGGGCGCGATCGGCTGCGCAGACATCAGGAGGGGTTGTGTGAATTTGTCAATGCGATGCTTATGGTGGCAGTTGGTAAGTTTTCAACCACAAAATATATCTCTCAGTGTACCAAGTGTCAGATTGGTAGCAGTAGGGCGCATGTGCGTATTCTGGTGGCACGCAACTGACAGCTGGCTGCTGGCTTTCGGCCTTTCTGAATGCCTTCATAATGCTAAACAGTCAAGTGCGGACCTTTCAGCTGTGTGCGTCGTTAGTGCGGAAATAAATCGTTGAAAGCGACGTTAAAGAAGAAGAACGTGTTACGCCACGCGCATGTATGTGGAAAAAACTATATATGTATGAGCGTGTGTGTGTGTTTTTTTGTATTTGTGTGCAAAGTTTCATTGAATGAAAAGCGTTGTTGCTGTTTCTTGAGTTCGCTTTGTGTGGTGGGCAGGTAAAGCCTATAGTTATATGTATGCATGTGTGTGTGTGTATGCTTGTATGTTTTCTGTGGGGGTGTGTGCGAGTGGCTTGATGACGACACAATGTCAAGCGAGTGGACACAGAACACAGGAACTGCTCGCAGGGCTTTGAGACTGTCTGACGTTCCACACAAACACATACACACACACACACACACGCACACACACACATCAACAAATGTCGGGTAGCTTCCTCTTCTTGCGTATGTGTGTATGCATGCGTGTAGGCATGCGGCTTGAAATAACAAACGTGCTGTTGTTGTTGTTGTTGTTGCTGCTGTTCTGCTGCTCTTGTTAGTTGGCCTCCGCAAGCATTTTCCCTCCCTTATCTAAATTTTTATATCAGCTCTCTGTCAGTGTCGTTGTGTGGGCGCGTTTGTGTGGTTGCAAAAGCATTACCCTTGATATTCGCTCAACAAACAAAATTCTGTTACGTAGACAGCCGCAGCGGCAGCAGCACCAGCAACAACAACAACAGCAACAACACAAACAGCAAATCAAGTCGCGCGCGTGCAAAAGTAGCTTCATTTTTATGTTTAGCGTTTATTTATTTATGAAAATTATGAGCATGTACAACGAAATAAAAACAACAGCCAAACGCATTTCTTGCGTGCCTCGCAATAGCAGGATTTAATTGATTCGCGCAGAAGAACGTGGTCAAATGGCTTCTAGAGAGCCTCTGGCCTCCTCCTATCCTTAGCCTGTACTATATATGTGTGTGTGTATGTGTGAGTGTTTGTGCTCGCGTTTCTGCTGGCATATAATTGAATAACGCAAATTTATCGATCGCCTTTGAAGCGTGCATTATTATATTGCACGTAATGCAATTTGAGGGAAAACATCAAGCGTGGCGCACTTTTTAATGTGGCACTTAAAAGCATGCTACACAAACAAAAAGCCCAGCTAAGTGAGCACATTAAATGCTCTTCCAGCAAGGCAGGGAGAGCAGAAGAGAAAGGCGTACATCCCCTTGTATTTACTGTTGTTATTCTGCTACGCCTATGCAAAACGGTTTTGGCGCCTCATTTCCGTTTGACCCGATACTGATACGCGTATTGTAGGGGCAGGGGGCTATGATCCGTTACTCAGCAAAATATTTGCTAGTGTATAATCGCAGAATATTGATGCTAGCATTGTTTGTTGTCCTCGTTTTATGCCCATACACACACTCCCCTCCCCCTCTCAATGGGGCCCACACACCATACAATATACTAACTGAAACGTTTGACGCTTTTGTTCAACATGTGCCCATTTATGACTTTATTTTTCTGTTGGCCAAAAAGTATGAGATACTGAATATGAACGTTTGTATACCATACGAGTATGTACATTTCAGAATGTATGGCTTGTTATGTATGTCTCTTCTTCCCTTTTGGGCTCAGAGACCGTGGTCGTGCTTGCCGTTTTGATTAAATTGCTTGAAAGTGTGAGCCGCACATGCCAGGTTTTTCATTTCAGAATCATTTTAATAACGTACTGCCGTACCGGCACAATGGCTACGTGCCAACGAAAATAAGTAGAACAATATGAATGACATAACAAAGAAACTTTTGCAAGAAGTAAGCTAACAATTTTGATTCAACATTAAAGTAACTTAAGTTCACTCTGTTTTTAAAGCATAACAAAATCAACTAATTAGTTCCACCACAACTTCAGCCGTAGTCTTTCAAAACTCCGACTCAGACTCACCACCAGTTTAAAATTTAGGCAAATGTTCAACTTTTTATTTCCAATATATAGTAATTTAATATTAATATTGAAACAATCTCCATAGCCACAAAGCTTAGTGACGTGATTTGAGTTAATGGTCCTGCTATTTTCATATCATTACTAGATATTGCTGGTCTATGAATTTTCTATTCAACTCCAATTTTGCTTTTGCGGTCATTAGTTCTTGAAATGATTATCGAATTTGCTTAAAGTCTTATTCGAAATTAATATTTTTTAATTACCTATTCAGAGCATTTGAAATATAAGAAAATTTAAAATGTTATATTATTGCCATATGCAAACAACTTTCTTCGTAAATTTAACGAAAGGATTTAAAAATTAATGAATTTTTTAATTCATAATAACCTGGCTTCTTTGCTTCTTGAGTTGCTAAAACTTAATCTTTTACCTCTTCTTACTCTTTGGTGTCCTTCAACTAAGCCCTTTCGTGATTGCTTGTCGTACGCATGTCTTGAAGCTGCTCTTTAATTATTCGAAAGGTGGAAGCCACGTGCACTCGAATTTCTCGGCTCCTCTTGCTTCGCCAACGTGCTGAAAACTTTTCCCAAGCGCAGGCAAACTCACTTAGTACCCTCAAGATTCCTTCTAATGAGCTTATTTTTATGGCGGCAACATGATATTATGTATTCAAATGATATTAAATTTTTAAATCATTGGAAGTTACCTCAAACCCAAATACGCGAGGTCTAATTACTTTTCAACAAGTAAAGGCACTTCAAAGGCGGCCAACTCGGCGTATGCTTAATGGGAAAGGTAACCCAACGGCTTGCGGCCACAAAAGTGGGTCAAGAAAAAGTAAATAGCGGTGGGCATGGGCCACAAGAAAAAGAATCGATGAGAACGGCAGCCATAACGTAGCGCAGAAAAGTCGTGCCATTGTACGACATCTGCGTCTTCTATATCCTCTGTTACCTCACCTTGTGTCTTTCTCATCGCCTTACCTAATCCGCAGAGCTGTGACTTTTCAGGCATTTGGCAGACTATAAAACTGGGTCTGCTGCCAAGGTTCAAGTCATGTGCGTTCCTATGTTTTTATGTCCAAGTTGTCTTGCTACCTATTTTATACCTATATATATATATACATACATATACGCCAACATATAGAATCGCAAATGCAGTTGTACGTGTGCTGACGGCTCTCAAATGTTTTTAGTTGTTTGCCAAGCGAAAATAGTTTTCAATGCCATTTGCTTTAACAGTTTCTGTACTCGTGCTGGTGTGTACCAGTGTGTGTCAGCTATTTCATTGTGTGTGTAAGTGCATACATGAGTGTGGGTGTTTGGTACACAAACAAGCACAAGTCAAGCGACAGCCCCAACAATGGCCGACGACATATTTTATATAACATCTCAACATGCAGACATACACCCAGGGAAAAATAATACACATACGAACAGGTTCGATCAATACTAAAGTACTTTATTGAAATCCAAGACAGCATATCTCAATTCACAAACAAAATTTCAAACAGGCCACATTTAATTAAATCGTAATTAAAAGTGATATCATTCTAAATAATTGTAAAGCAAAAAAATAATAAAAAATATTTTTTATCAAACTTTAAAGACAAGCGCGATCCAATCAAAAAAATACTTATTTAACAGAATGCATGAGAATGCTAGCCATTAATAATTAACAGGCAAAGGAATACTGAAAAGGATATTAACAAACCCTTTCTGCACTTTACTTTTCAGTTAATGTTTATAAAACAA